AGAGGAGCCTGCCCTCCGGTCCCGCCCGTGCCCGCCCATCTTTGGCCCCGGTACCCAGGGTACCTGAGCGTGGGCCCGATGCAGGCCGTGTCGGTGCTCTCGATCTCTCGGAGGATCCGCTCGTGCTCCGCCGCCGTCTCCAGGCTCTCCGCCTCCGCCATCTTACCCCGCTCCATAGACTAGGGGCGCCCGGCAGCGCGTCCCCTCCTTGGCTCGCCTCACCTTTCACTCGCTCTCTCACCCAAGGCTCCACAGCCACCCCAGCCTCCGGCCATCCGCAGGACGACCCCTCCCTCATAGTCGTCACGCCCCCTTGCGTCATCACGTCCGCCGACGTTCCGCGCACTGCCCGCTGGGATTTGTAGTTCCCTGGGAGATTGTTAGACTGGGTTTCGCTCGTTTATTCATTGATTCCACAAACTCGTGTTGAAAGCTCCACTGTAAGGCAGGAACATTAACAAATGATATGCAGTAATGATTAAGTCAGGCAATGGCACTAATCCTACAAATTCTTACATAAGATCCTTGCTCAAAGTGCAAAAGTTCTATAGACGCGAATATTAAGAAAGAACTAACTAGATTTCTGCAGAGAGCGATGTTTCAACCATCAGGAGGAGAAAGCTGGAGAAACCCAAAACTAAGAGATAAAGCAGAAAGTAGCTGTAAACCAGTTCAGATAATCGAACACAGCGATCACTTCTGGCCATGAAGGATTCATAGAGAGACTAAGCCTGAAAATTAAAGATGTCATCGGAAGGTGTGAGGAGCACCCAGAAAGCCAACAACAACTTTATTTGCACTGGTATGTAGAGAAGTAGTAGTAAGAGATGGGGCTGGAAAAGTGCCTTGGAAAGAAATACTGGGCTGAGAAATTTGAAATTTTAATAGCTCCACTGGTCCAACAACCAACTGCATCAGAATTCACTAGGGAAAGAATTACAAGAGTGCTTACATAGTAAAAATTACCTTCCTCTTTCTTCAGGCCTCTTCCTTCCAATCTCTCTCCTGGCTGTTGTTACTGTTAACAGTTTCTTGGATATCCTTTCAGAAACAGTCTATCTGTGTAAGATTTTATGTATATACAAGCATATATATGAATATCTTTTTGATTTTTTAATTGAGATATGATTGATATGCAACATTATATAAGTAGTTTCAAGTGTACAACATAAAGATTAGATATTTGCATATATTGTGAAATGATCACCACAAGTCTAGTGATTTGGAGTTCCCTGATGATTAGTAATGTTGAGCATTTTTCTCATGTGCCTGTTGGCCAGCTGTATGTCCTCTTTGGAAAAATGTCTATTCAGATCCTCTACCCATTTTTTAATCTGGTTGTTTATTCTTTTGATATTGAGCTGTATGAGTTCTGTGTATACTTTGCATAGTAATCCCTTACTGAATATATCATTCTCAAATATCTTGTGTCATTCAGCAAGTGGCCTTTGCGCTTTGTTGATAGTTTCCTTTGCTGTGCAAAAGCATTGTAGTTTGATGTAGTCCCATTTGTTTATTTTGCTTTTGATTCCCTTGCCTGAGTAGACATATCAAAAAAATATTACTAAGACTGATGTCAAAGAGAGTACTGCCTATGTTTTCCTCTAGATGTTGTATGATTTCAGGTCTTACATTTAAGTCTTTAATCCATTTTTATTTTTACTTTTTAACATTTTTTATTGAGTTATAATCATTTTACAATGTTGTGTCAAATTCCAGCGTAGAGCACAATTTTTCAGTTATACATGAACATATATATATATTCATTGTCACATTTTTTTCTCTGTGAGCTACCATAAGATCTTGTATATATTTCCCTGTGCTATACAGTATAATCTTGTTTATCTATTCTACATTTTGAAATCCCAGTCTGTCCCTTCCCACCCTCCTCCCCCTTGACAACCACAAGTTTGTATTCTATGTCTATGAGTCTGTTTCTGTTTTGTATTTTTGTTTTTGTTTTTTTTGTTTTTTTAGATTCCACATATGAGCGATCTCATATGGTATTTTTCTTTCTCTTTCTGGCTTACTTCACTTAGAATGACATTCTCCAGGAGCATCTATGTTGCTGCAAATGGCATTATGTTGTCAGTTTTTATGGCTGAGTAGTATTCCATTGTATAAATATACCACATCTTTGTCCAGTCATCTATTGATGGACATTTAGGCTGTTGCCATGTCTTGGCTGTTGTAAATAGTGCTACTATGAACACTGGGCTGTAAGTGTCTTTTT